GACTACTTTACTGGGTTGATGTTACGTAACTTAATTTAAGTCACTATCATATGGGTAAATACTAAAGAATAGGGTTTCCCTGATGTATATATGTATATATATATATGTATATAATGAACAGCAACCCAGTTCACGGGCTTTTCAGTGGGTTACAAAGCCATATGGGAATGTAGGGGTTTCGGGGGTATATGGGAATAGACAGGATTTGGGGTGGGACTTCTCCATAATGGGGGTTTTTAGGGGCGTAGGGTAGATGGGGATTGATAGGAGATGATCGGGGTCCCCATCGGGATTAGGCACCCTATGAAAGTCTCCAACAATCTGGTTCTGAGTCCCTATAGTCTGGACTACACCGCTTTGGGCTGTGGAAGGGAGACCTGCAAAGCTCAATTCTTGGAAATACTCACATTCCAGCTCCTCAACCGTACGGGTCGCTCTACGACAGCGGTGATCCACGGGCTCTGCGCTTCTGCTTATAGATCTTGAGATGCCGTTGGTCCGGCCTAAACCCTAAACCCTAAATCGTAAACCCTGATCCCGAAAACCCTACACACTAAACCCAAAACCTTAGACAGGCTTTGTGGGTTCCCCACATGGGGGCTGTAGCAGTGACAACTACTCCTATAACAGGTGGCATAACCTGAAATGGGTAACCATTATCCTTTTAAGTTATATAGGCATAGGGGTTATATGGGGTTATATGTGATGCATTCTCGATGCAGGGGCCTCAAGTCTAAGAATGGGAAAGAGCGGAAATCAATGTTGCGCCTTTTGTTCTGCAAGGGCTACATAGGATACCATCCAAGTTCATCACCTCCCCCGTAAACATCCCCACGCACAACCCTAGTTACTCAGGTTCTACGTTGCTCCAGACTGCGTGGAGGGAGACATCGTTTCTTGCTGTCCGGGCTTAGCGGTTTAGGGTGTAGGGGTTGAGAAGTTTTGTTAGGTTTGAGATGCAGGGAGGGGCACTGAGGCTGCGAGCTTTGTCGGTTTCTTGGCGTTGCGGGATTGAGTTTCCAGCAGATTCAGGCCCGTGCTCTTCTCCAAGCAACACCTCCTCAATACCGCGACATTTTTTGCACCCCTAGATCCGAGCTATACGTCTCATTGCTTCAGTCTTTTATTACGGTTGAACGTCCTAGACAAGCAAAGCCATGTTGAGATTTGAGGGTTCTGGTGATTCGAGCTTTCGTTTGCGGGTCTACAGGGTCATTAGCATGTTAGAGTTATTGGGCTGCTCACGTTACAAAAGGACGTTACAGAAAACCCTCAATTCAACAAATCCCAGAACTCAAAACCCCCGAACCCCAAAAAAACAAACCCTAAAAAGTAGTTTCCATTTCCTTTTCCATTATCCCAACCTGTTCCCAATATTACCCCAATACATCCCCTATATAACCCTAAACTCACCATAACCCAAAAGCCCAAACACCAGGCCTTCCATGTCTGGCAGCTCGGAGTCTACCCGGCAGGCGCTGAGCGCCCAACGCTGCAGCTGGTAGCCTTGCTGCTCAGAAGGTTTCACTAGGGTTTTTAGGAGGGTCTAGGGTTTAGGGTTCAGAGTTTTTAGGGTTTGGGAATTCAGTGAGGGTTTAAGGGGGATTAAGGGGTTTGGTCTCAGTTCTCATGTCTGAGGTTTATTCAGGCTTTTGGGAGTTTAAGAGTCTGGGGCACTTGCATCTCGAAAGGACTCTAGATCATCAGAACAATCTTCTACATGTAACATAGGAGCTATAGTCCAAACTCCCAGCATCCCCTTAATAACCCCTATCATGCTCTCCTATATAATCCTCTATATAACCAACCGTTCAGGAGTTTAGACTACACTTCATATACTGAGGTTGATGAGCTCAGGTTTTCCCCATGGCTCTAATATGGTGAGGTTCTCAGGGTTTGGGGTTGCCGATAAAGAAACTTAAATTCACATACCACAACATGGGTATACATCTAAAGCCCCCTTTGTGCTGATACAGTAAGCTTGTAGTTCTTCAGTTGTTCTTCTTTTAGGACACAGGCTGGACAGACAGGCATGCAGGTGTACAAAGGAATGCTCAGGGAATAGGTTCCCCAGGGTAAGAGCTAGGTTACGGAGATTTTTCATTGCGTGAGAGATCCAAAAGACTTAACTAAATCGTATTCCGTAGATCAGTAATAAACAGAACCATCGAAGAAATCGGAATCTTGTCTGGATGGTTCTGGACTTGTGGCTCATAGGGAGAGGGCTCCTGATAGGGGTCTGAGGCTTAGAATGGACAAAGATGCACTGCTGCTTCATGCATCCTGTGAACCCCAACGGGGCTTTGCATGCTTAGACATGCGGAGTGTTGCTACAGGGCACCACGCAACGTTCCATGGTACATGCTGCCAATAAAGTAGTTTGCTTTTTTCTTGTCCATAATCCCTATATAACCCCAGATATTTTGACCGTATCATAATAGGTTAATAGGTGGATTGAAATTCAATACCTTCAAACTTACACCCTAACCCACGAAACCCCCAACCGCTTGCCATCGGGTGGCTGAGGTTTCCCAGCATCCCCACGTGTTTGGTCTGCAGTCGGGTGATCTGCCTCCTGAGTCCACACAGGGTGTACATGGGATGTCTCAAAAGTCTGGGATGCTGATGGAAATATATAAACGACCCTATAATCCCAGTTTCCATTCCATGTTCCATTTCCTTTTCCATTTGATTCTCCATTATTATTAGGGTAATATAACCCTGATTACCCTAAGAGGGGTCAGAAACGGAAATGTTCTGATTAGCTCACAGGTCCCATGCTGAAACAATTGAAGCTGTTCCAAGCGCATGCATGGATCTGAGTCAAAAATTGAAGCCCGCTACTCTGTCAACTATATGCAGGCGACAGATTTGGCAGATCTTAGACGCAGAACTGTTTTCGAAGCCTGAAACCTAACCCTCCACCCTAGTCCCTACACCAGAATTTCTAAGCTCTAGGCCCTGAATCCTAACCCCTAAACTCCTAAACTTTCTTAAGGAGGTGTATATAAGGGACCCACATACGTGGGGCCCCTCATATATGGGACGAGCTTTTTAGGGAGGTCTTGTGGAATCCTTATTCTGGATGGGCCCCCTTGAAGATTCCCAAGCCCCAAAGCCTTCATCCCCAACTTCAAACTCAAACCCCACACTTTCAGAGTGGGTTTAGGGTTTAGGGTTTAGGGACCAAAACCCCTAAACACGTCCCAAAACCCTGAACCCTGCCCGTGGCCTGAATAGACTGGCTGTTCCCAGGAGGAAAGTTGGCTGAAGCCGCCGAATGTCCTGGATGAGAGTCCTACTGTTGATGATTTTTGGTTATATTGGGGTAATAAGGACACTTATAGGGGTTATAGTGGGGAAATGGCCCCCAGGATTTCAGACTTCTGGCGCAGGATTTTTGGCTTCATCTTCAGGGTTCAGGGTTTAGGGTTTGGAGGGTACTGTTAGGGATGAAGATCCTGCATGGCCGCATTGTCTTTTTGCTATTGCAATGAATCCCAGGATTTTGGGTATTTAGGGTCTGTTGCGAGGTCTTTCGCTATGTTAAGGAGCTTGATTGAATTTACTATATTGGGAAAACCTATCAATATTCTTAATTACTATGTATACCCATTATGGTAACGCTTCAAATTCCTGAACAGCAACCCGGTACCCCAGTAACCCCTATATAATCCCAGTTCCCATTTCATCTTCCATTTCATCTTCCATGTGCTTTTCCATTTGATTTTCCATTCTGGGGGTGGCAATATTTAAGTTCCTTAACAGCAACCCTAAACCATAAAGCCTAAAAGCCCCACCTCGAAAATCCGCGGGGAGCGGATGCCGCCAAAGAAGCCCACAGCCCCACCAGCCGCCAGCACGGCGTGGAGCACCTTGGTACTACCGGGATGATATAGAGACCAGGGTTTAGGGTTTAAGGTTTAGGGTTTAGAAGGGAATAGAGATATATGAATAGAGGGATGTATAGGGTTTATGGGTCAGGGGGACTTAGCAAGTGGACTAGATACGGGGATAGTTAGGGTTGCTATTAACAGCTTATCAGCGTTATACGTACACTCCAAAGTCAAGCACCACTCGCTCCGCAGTGAAGGCTGGCCAGATATAGCTGAAATGCCTCCAGCTGAGGTGGCTTCCGTTTAGCATTTGAGGTTTAGGATTTAGGGTCTAGGGTTCGGTGCTCTAGGTTGGGGCTTGGGTTTAGGGTAGGGATTATATACATATCACATAAATATTCTACAGGGTTTAGGCTTATTTGGAGAATCAAGTGGAAAATCGGGTGGACAATGAATTCAAAACTGGGGTCCGTCACGGATGCATGGGTTCAGGGTTATTGCCCGATCACAGCTTGAGGGCATGTGGAGGCTTCAAAGGTTGAAAAGGATGTGAGGGGTAGATGGATGTATGTAGGGATATGATTAAGGGATTTAGTGGTTGGATATGACGATAGAGAACCCAATAAAAAGTTGAACCTGAACAATCACGTGGAAACTGGAAGTCTGCGCGGATCGAGACTGTAGGGTCTTGACGTAGGAACTGAAGTAGTTAGGACAGGGTTCGGGTATACGATGCTAAGGATGATACTGGGATAGTTTTGCCAATCCTTCAGGCTTCTCTGCGTATCTCCAACTTCAGACCCCAGTTTGCACTACCAAATCAAGTCCATCTCCTTCGCGAATGTCTTCAAGAGCTGAGCCAAAAACATCCTAGGTAGGGAGTCAGGGCTGCCCACAAGGATCTTCCCATGTCCATAGGATCCCTGACAAAAAGACTGGACCCAAAATGCCAACCGGAAACTCTAAATCCTAACCCATGAACCCTCGAACCTAAACCCTAAGGCCTCAACCGTGATTCCTCAATCCTAAGCCCTCAAGCCTACGACCTCAAGCCCCTCCAAGCCCGCATACCTCAACCTAAACCCTAAACCCAGGAAAAAANNAGATTTCATCCATCAACAGTACCCCGCCTCAACCCTAAACCCAGACAAGAACAAAACCGGCCTGTTGTCGTTGCGCAGACCCAAGGCCTGGCGGATGGAGTGAGCGCAGATCGCCAGGCCCCGCCTCTGTTATTAGGGTTTAGGGTTTGGGGCAGGGCTTGCGGGTAGAAAGGGGTATAAGGAGTATACGACTTAGGAACAGTATAGAGGGGTAGACAGGGATCATGTAGGGACAAGACAAGAGAATCTGGAAAGTACTACATTGTTATAAGGATAATATTGTAAGCAGTCGGGTATACATTTGGGGGTTGAATGTATGTTTTTTTGAATAGAATGAATCTACAGATGGGGTTTAGGGATATGTATATGTTCAGGATTTAGGGTTTAGTGTTTCGGATATAGTACCAAAACAACGGAAAATCTAATGGAAGAGAAGCTTAACCATGAACTGGAATCTCGGGTTATATAGGGGTTTGAAAGTTCTTGTTCACAGGAAATAGGAGATCCAGGGTAGCTAATAATGGTCCCTTTGAACTTTAAAAACGGGCTTGTAGGGACTGTATAAGGATCAGGGTTTAGGACATTACTTATAGTTGGAAATGGACTTGAAATACCAGCTACCATTCATGGTTTAAGTTTTGGTTAAGGGTTTAGGATTGCTAGTAGGGAATGGAGGAATGTAAAAGCAAATGGACCGTATGATTTCAGGTTCAGGGTCAAAGCAGAGCAGTTTCCATTCCTTCAATCCGACTCACGACCAGCAAGTGTTTGGCTAAGGGTTTATGGTCTTTGAAGGGGGGATGTACGAGTTCGTAGGGATATGTGAAGGTAGGACATGTAGGGTTGTGGATTTGGGGTTGCAGGGGTTTGGAGACGTAGGATTACGGCTGCGAGGTCTAGAGGCAAGTTATTAGTACTGTTACCCGAACTTCATGATTGTACTTGCATTGCCGTGGTTCTGTGACGTGCCATCTTTACTACTCAGACTGCTTCTTGCTGCTGAGGGTACTGCTGCTGCTGCTGCTGCTGCTGCTGCTGCTGCTGCTGCTGCTGTGGTTGCTATTGTTGTAGTTATCACGACTTTTCATACACTGTTCATTTTTTACGGCTAGTTTGCTATCCTGAATGATAATGTCGTTGATTATGTTGGTACCTGTTGCAAGCCCTAACCAGCGAAAGCACTTTGAACCTCTACTGCTGTGTAGCTATGGCTCATCAACTCATAGCGTCATTCTCTGAACGGTATGACTCGCATGCTGGTGCCAGCAGTTCTACAGCATGAGCGGCCGTGGCTGTTAAGATTGTCATGGCCAGTATAAGACCTGTGCACATGGACCAGCAGGATTTGATCATTTCCATAAATTGGGGGACCCTAATATGAATCCCAATATACTGTACTGCTGAACGTGAGGATAGGACCCCTCGGTTGGGGAAACCCCCCATCTGTATCCATCACCACTTACGGATCGCGGTAAGGCTTTGAGTTTGCTCTCCAGGGCACAGGCTCACGGATACCCCAGCCAGCTCGCTCTTCGTTCCCGAACGCGAGCGGTACATGGTTGTCATGACGTCAAAACCGCCAACGCCTCAGATCGATTATTCTAGTAGCATTGGAAATCACAAAACTGTCCTTGCCAAGGCGGTTCCCAGCGTACAACACAAGCACTGCCCATAGTAGAACAAAGTATTACGTAGTAGAAGCGGCCTTCGGCCAAGGTTTCTGTGGATTTGTGCTTCTGCAGCCTGGACACCTACATAGGGCACCCATCCGGCAACCTCGCCAAAGTTGGCAATGAAGGGCAAGTCCCAGACACGGAGGTTCCTGTGCTGTGCCATGGCAGCTAGCCGGGCCGTGAGGGGCGTGAAGGTGACAATGGGGCAACGGGGCAATTCCTCTGCGCGGCGCGAGGTAACAAAGTACTCCACCCAATCCGAAGAGCACAGGAGGAGCTCCAAGTCCTGAACGCTGCTGGGAACGGGCACAGTGTTACCGCTGATGGGATTCGACGCGGGTGCCGCCAGGCAGACCGTGTTAGCGCCCAGGCGCATGAGTGCCAGGTCACACAGAAGCCAGTCCGCCGAGGCGTCACCCAGCAAACCAACCTGCGCGTTGCGTTTCAAGCCGAACTTCCTGTGTAAGCCAGAGGAAATCCGCAGGATCTCGAACTGGGCGTCGCCGTAGCTCAGCCAGGTGTACTCTCCCAGTGTTCCGTCCGAGTTCAGTGTTCGGCGGCCAATGCAGGGCCTCAGCCTGTAGGATTCAACGGAGCCATTGAAGCTGTCATATGGGCTGGAGGCCACGGTTTTGGCCGGACGCTCCGACTGGGCCTGCAGCCTCCTCCGGAAAGCCGAGCTGGCGAGCTCCGCAGTCATCGACACTGTCCTCTCGATGGGCGGCCGGGCCTCCTCGTGCAATCGCCATCTATTCCAAAGCAGCAAGAGCCCGCAGCCACCAGCACAGGCTGTGGGGAAGCCATACTTTACCAGAGCGGGCTGAAGTACGGGAGGGACACCCAGTCTGCAAAAAGACTGCTGGAAAACGCGCAATAAAAGATCGGCCTTTCGCAGCTGCAGGTAAACTGCAGGCAGCATTCCAAGGAGAAGAGATCCCTCAAACCATTTCTCCTCCAGGGCGTCTAGGGTCCTCCGCAGCAGCGAGGGCTCCTTGGGCTTGGACTTTGGGGGCTCCCGAGCCCACGCAAAGCTGCAGCGGAACCGGAAGTGCGCTCGGATGCCGAAGTGGTCGCTGAGATATTCAAAGGGCTGGCCAGTGACTTCAAATGGCTCGACTTCCGACTCCTTATGCTCCACCAGCGATGTGACTGTGGGCCTGTAGAAGACCTCAGTAGCGGATTCGCTGTTACAGGCCGTACTTCCAGCACGATCGTTCTACCGGGGCCCCAAAGCTGCAAACAACCAGAACATATGACTTATATCAATTTCCATGCTAGTCAGGCGTATTTTTCCGTGACTGGTAGAAGGTATGCGGAGGTGTCTTACAAGACAGCTCTTGAAAAGCTCAGCCACGTAGTCCAGTCTTTGCGGGTACTTGTGCCTCGCCACGTAGCCTTCCGACAACAAAGTTTGAAAGAGCTAGTTCAACACGGCATGGTGCAATAGATAGTTGCTCCAGTCTTTCTGTTGCCTTCTTGGAACACTGCTGTTGCAGGATGAGATCTTGCAGCTCTTACAGGCCACCATCGCCGCATGGAACCCACTGGTAATGCTATCAGCAAGCCCTGGAGGATCCAGGGGCGACAGGTTTGCGCGCCAAACGTTAGGCAGGCCTTGTATACTCAGATTCACACTGTCGATTTGTGGTGAAATCTCAAACACTGAGATCTCTACAAGGTAGTTTCCCAAAACAAGGGGACCCCAATATAGACCCCAAAATACTATAGTCCTTACAATGGGGACCCCAAGAGGGTACCCGTAATTTTGGGAAACCCCCACAAGACCTTTAAGAGAGAATGAGAGAGGCAAGGACCTTTCCAAATTGACGTCGCCTGCCGAGGAGGGCATGCGCAGCCGCGGCGGGCGGGTGCATGGGTGGCGCCGGCCCGGCGACTCCTTCGGAAGCAGTTTGGTGTTTCAGATTTCTGTTCCCGGGAGCCTGCTTAGATATAGGGTGTAGCGTGTAAGGTTCGCCTGTGCTGGGTGTAAGGAGCCAAAGAAGATCCCTTGATTTCCGATGCTCCCCATCTCCGGTCCAGCTGCGAAGGGGCTATGATGGTTGACAGATTGGGGATTCACAGTTTACGAGGGCGGCTTCTGAGGGATGCCTAGAAGTTACACGAGTACAAGGTTCAGGGGTATCCTTCACACAAGCTGCTGGGCGTATGTTTTCATACCCCTGCTGTGGTCGTTACTTAAACTCCCCGCCTGAAATAAAATGCATCCTGACAAAAATTGTTTTCAGCATGTCTTGGCTTCTTCATTCACAGAAGCCACCTTGTCACCACAAGATGGGACCCCTGAGAATCCTTTGATGCACCGGCCAACCCTGAAAATCCTAAACCCGTCTAAGACCTATCTATCGCTATATAACTCCATATACATATACATATATTCCAATTTGTGTAATGATATATCTTCATATATCGTTTATTATATCATTTATATTCGATGGGTACTCATATATATATATATACTTATATTCTCATATTATATATATGTACGCAACAATAGCGAGCTCTACAACAGATTCCAAACGGCCTTCCCAAGCGGATCTGACGGCGTGGGCCCGCAGAGCAAGTCAACAAGCCGTCCGCGAGGGTCCTGAGTTTAGGGTTTTCGGTGGTTTAGGGTTTGGGGCTTAGGGTTTCGGGCTAGAGTCCTAGTATCCCTCCTAAAAAAAAACCTCATAGCAGTCTCCGATATATCGCACCTGTAGGGCTCATATCAGTAGCAGGAATAATAAGAAGAAGAGTAGCAATAAGGGTTACAACAATCATACTCATCGTGATAAGAATAGTAGTAGTAATAAGGGCAGTAGTAATCTAATAACAGTTCTAAGAAGAGTAGTAAGAAGAATGGCAATAACACTCGCTAATAATCGTAATAATAATCGTAGTAAGAATGGCAATAATAAGAAGAATAGCAATAAGTGTTCCAGCTTGCCGCCCCAGAGTCCTAGACCTCCAGCTGTTGGAACTGGTTGTCGCCACGACTAGTTTATAGCCAGCATGTCCCAAGAGCAACAACTTCCAAGATCAAGAGGCTGGCTGACTTGTCGTTCGCTGCGATAAATGCCCCTGATTTGAAGGGCCCATACAATCACATCCTGTCTATCCCCAGCAAACTAAGCCCTTCCGCACCGAGGGTCCAGGGCATACACGAGGCGCTGGTAGTCCTCCGACTCCTGGCTTACAAAGATTGGTCTGCAGTGGGTCTGTTGGTATACTGTGTCCGCTCTTATGTACCTCAAAATTGATTTGAGGACCCTGTATTGAAAGACCATTGCAGACGCAGACTTGCCCCAAGCCAAAATCCCCAAATTCAGGCACCTGGCGAGGCGGTCGGAAGGGAATGCCATAGGTGCCCATGGGGTCTGAGGGCTCCGGGATGGCGTCGACGTTGAAGTCCCCTGTAAGGACCTCGGTGGATCTAACTGCTGAGTGCCCTCATACGGGTCTTTTTACTACATGGGGGGAATATAGATCCACCTAGTTTTGAGGGACGCAACCTTAAGGCGGCAACATGAGAACCTCATCATCACTGCAAGCCTGATATCCCTGTATGATCCGTGCATGACACAGAGGAACCCTGAATCACGCCTGCAAGCCTGACATATTCAAGATGTAATCCTGTGAAGCCCTCTGTTACTCAAGCCCCTAAAAGGTTTGGGGGCTTTAAACGCCCTAGAAAGCCCTCAATGCCACAAGCAATCTTGAATCCTACAAGACTGCGCCTTGTGGAAGCCTGTATGCAAGGAAGCCAAATGCTGAACCTTGAAGAGACTCCGAGACCTATGGCAACTATGCCCAAGCCCCAAACACACAAACCCAAAGTCTAAATCCCTCGAAAGCCTACACCCCAAACCGTGGCCCGCCAAAAAAAATCAAACCTTGCCCATATCTCCACACCTCTCCGAGGCTAGTGGCATAAGGATGCTCTGTGCCCGCAAGCTCAATGAACTCGCGCAACTCCTGAAGCTTTGCAATGCCTCTCTTCTCTTGTTAGGACAAGCTATATAGGAATTCTTAGGATCACACTGTAGGGACTTACACATGGGGAGTCAAAGGGCGTATGCATGGATTATCGGCTAACAAGGGAACACATAGGGGTTAAGCGGGTTACATCCAGATGCTGTCCTTTCTAACGACGGAGCCTTTCTAGAGTTTGCGCTGCATGTTCCATGTCTGCACAAAAAAGATCAAAAAAGGAGAAGGTGTTGGCCGATAGTAATTGAGCTATAACAAGGGAACACATAGGGGTTAAGCGGGTTACATCCAGATGCTGTCCTTTCTAAACGACGGAGCCTTTCTAGAGTTTGCGCTGCATGTTCCATGTCTGCACAAAAAAGATCAAAAAAGGAGAAGGTGTTGGCCGATAGTAATTGAGCTATAACAAATGTCTGTCAGGATGGTGGACAACGTTCTTCCACCCTCTCCAGCTACCAGAAAGAAAGTCCAACGCCCCCGAATTAAGGAATATGCGGCACAGCAAGCTAGGTTGAAATATCGCTACAGTCTTTGGCAAAAGAACTCCATTGCATTCCTTGCGTAACTCCCCCAACCTTCAGCTGGGACCGACGGATTCGGTCGAAGACCTCGCCGTCAGCGCCCGTGTGTGAGGCCTGCCAGCGCAAGGTTGGGCACCCAGGGAAGAGTAGGATGTAAGCCTCTAACAATGTTGAGATCGTCAAGGACAGGGGTAGGGTGCAAGCCTTCAAGTACATAGGGATTTCAGAACTCTCTCCTAAGATTCAGGCAGGGAGCGCATTCTGGCACAAAATCTGAAGATCAGTTTTTGAGGGCATCTCGCAAGCATGCCAACAGCTGCCAAAGATCTGGCTGCGCCTCCGAACGATTCGTCTTACTGTGGAATAATATGGAAAATTGGATTATATTGATGGGGGTGTATAACGATTATATCCCCTTTTTTCCCTACCGACTAAGAACCAGTAAGTCGTTCCATGCAGGCACAATTGGCAGACTCTGGACCTGCAGCGACTGTCCTTTCTGGTTGAAGACTGTTTCAAGGATTAGGCGTCAAGGCGAACTAGAGCCCGTAAGGTCTGTGGCTTTGGGGTTCAGGGTGTTGAGAAACGCGAAGATGCAAAAGCTCGCCAAGCATGACCGGCCTGGAGATGGCAATTGAACCTCATGGAGGCTATAGGAACAGAGTTGAAACGTACCAGATTCTGCTGCTTTGTGTCAGAGTCGCAGGATCCCATTGAAGGATTTCTTGGCATTAGATTCTGTGGGTCCTCGTGCGTCTGTTTAGGATGGGCGCAAGGAGCACAAAAGAAGATCACGGCAGGGATTGGTTAGCATCTGTTCTTGATCGTGTAAGCCCGCAGGCAAACTCGAGTCTCCTCTTGCTGCCCACATTCAGGGTAGATGAAGCGAGACGTGAAAGGGAGAACAGATGGCAGAAGAAGTGCCAAAAGCAAAGTGCGGCAAAGCCTCACGCCATATGTTGCCCTTTAAACGGCTTGCCACGCTGCTTCAAACAAGCCTCGTGAATGCCACCACAACAGAGGATCCCATTCAACAATTAGACACGCCTGCGACTATGGCGAAGGATTCCAAAAATCCAGTTCTATTTCAAGCGCACCAGAAAAAGCATCGTGATGTTTGGGGCGTGAAGCTGACTAAAACAACAGTGCTTGAGATACCCTCAGCAAAACCGTAAGAAAGACGATGACTTTGACACCTGCCCATATCCTAAATCTCTTTCCTGCTGCCAGGCGACACATCCAAGTACCTTCCAGATGCAAGCTCAACTCGGGCCCACATGGCGCCTGCTGCAGAAAGGTCCGCAACTGCCGTTTGAGATAGCAGTCATCACAATACGGATAAGCCTGGTAGTCTACGGAAAAGCCGTAGTCTTAATTGTAAAGCAAGAAGCGGCAATAATAATGGTGGAATGTGGTGGTGGTAGCAGTAATCGAAGCTGAGAGTTCAACCTGTCCTTCACTTTGACTGATGCTCAAACAAGACCATGACTAGCAATATTGTTACAGCTGCCATGACTACTCTCACGATAAACAACAACACACAGATTATTGATAATTACCGTCCTATGCTGCCGCTGCTGTTGCTACTTACTACTCTACTTCTACTACTACTACTACTACTACTACTACTGCTGCTGCTGCTGCTGCTGCTACTATTACCATCATACCAAGTGCCTGGCCTTTGCACGCCCCGGCGTCTAAGGCCGCCCCAGACTCGAAGCGAATTGACCGCGTCTCCGCAATGGGCAGCCGGCTGAAGATCACGAGGCCGCTGTCAGTCCACTTACCTGCTCTAGATGAGGGTTAGGCTTGAGGGGTTTAAGGCAAGGGGTTTAGGGTTTAGTGCTCAGTGGCCGTTGCTGCAGTCTACTGAAGTGTCTCAGGGCTGCAGTCGGGAACGCAGACAGAGGTTTGATGTGGATTGGTTTGCGAGTTCCGCAGCGAAGTCAGGAGGACCGCTATTCAGTGTCATGTGGGGCAGGTGCCTTTGATAGCATGGAGCCCCAATGCTTATCTCAATCATTCGTCAGAGCAGATTCCCTCCCAAAACTAGCATGGAAACCCATAGCAGTAGTGTTTTTTTGTGGTTAAACCCAGTAAGATTATGTTCCTTATATATAATACATACTATACCCCAAAAGGAGGATATAATCTTACTCTATATTGAGTACATATCCCCAAATAAAACACTGCTCATATGATGTATGGCATGGGTATGCATGTGCCATACATGCCTTGTTTACTTCATATAGCCCCCTCTGAGCTTCCGCATTTGTTTGAAGGAAAAATACAATGAAATCAGCAGCTTGACTTGAAGCATAGAACCTCCCTCACCCGGCTACACAGTTTGGGAATTAAGGGGAGAAGCCTCGCACCTCAGGCCGGTCGCTACAACAAAAAACCACTAGCTGGGGGCCCCAAGACTATCCCTTCTGGCCAAATGTCAGGAAGCGCCACATAAGATCACTATGACGCCAAAAGACTGCCCTACATAATCCTTCTGTTTGGTCAGTCCCTTTTATGGTAACTGTTACTTAAAAACAGAGGTAGTGAGAGTTGATTATGATTAAAATCCCTTCAGGGACATTTACTGTAAGGGGGCATGCCCTTATCCATTGGAATTAAACGCAAAAGCCCTAAACCTTAAATTTTACACCCTAAACCCTAATCCCCTAAACCCCTAAACCCCTAAACCACTAAAACCCAAAAAGCAAAGAGATCGCCTCGCCGGAGTAGGTCCAGAACCTCAGTGGCAACCGTGCAGACCCCGTGGCCCACTTGATGATTCCCAGCCACAGGGTTTAGGGTTTAGGGTTGAGGGTTTAGGGTTTGGGGTTGAGGGTTTAGGGTTGAGGGTTCAGACCCTAAACCCTCAACCCAGGGGCCCAAAGAAAGTGCGGCAGAAGTTTCTTTGGGGGTCAACCTAAACCCCAAACCCTAAATAGTAGTTTCTATTTTCTTTTCCATTATCCCAATATATCCCCTATATAACCCCTATGCATACCCTACAATAATATAGTAGTTTCCATTTTCTTTTACATTATCCCAATGTAACACCAATATAACCTAATATTACCCCAATATAACCCTGAAGAGACTCAGGAGATGAGAAGGACTGCGGGAGTTTTGTATTCTGGGATCTGTCCAACGCATGGGGTTTAGCGTTTAGGGTTTAGGGTGAAGAACATGTTGGCAGCAAGGTGATCAAGAAACAGGGCGTCGAGTCGAAAGCCCAAGAAAATCACAAAAGCCCCAAATACCAAACCCTAAATGAAGCCCAAACCGGCAATTCTCATACACATCTCAGAAGACTTCCTTAGCTACAGAGGCTCATTTTCGTGCGTACCACATTCTAGATTTCCAAAAGGGTATGATTCTAATTAAGGTGCCAGCCATTGCAAAACTCGATTTCCTGGCTTGTATGTCACAACTCGGAGAATGCCACGGAAGCCCAAAGCTGTCCCACTGCAGCCAGGGCACCGTTGGCTTTGGTCCAATGACAGCATGGTAGCCCATAGAAGCCATGGTTCCTAGATTCAGTCACAGCGACTAGGAGTGTGGGGGAGGCTATGTGAGCATTGTACTATCAGTATTAATAAGGTTGCTGTAGGGACCGTCTCGGCATCAGGAAGTCCTTTGGGGGGTTTTAGGCTTCCTTCAGTTCACCGGGTGGCATCCTGCAAGAGAAAAGCTACTGGTCTTCTTCACTGCTAATCCATCTAGCTACAAGATAAACTACGATTGATTCCTGTTCTTATGGCGACAGTCCGCCATTGGTGTACTCCAGGCTTTCACGTGAAGCTCAGTAGCCCCCCACCAACACCACAACTCGCAAGTAGGAAGCGCTGAAGCCCCTTGCCCATAACCGATTGCTTGTAACTGCACCAGCACAACAGCCCTCAACCCTGAACTCCTAAATCCAAAGGGGGCCAGGAGACGCACTGCGGACGACTGCGCGCAGAAGCATGGGACGAAAGGCGAGGCGAAGAGTTCCTCTGCCCAGCGTAGTGCATGATTTCGTGAGGAAAACATGGAGAGCAGGGTTCAGAAAGGAGCTTTGTTTGGAAGAACTGGGGAGGGAGTGGGTTTGGGGGTCAGGGTTGGAGGATCTATGGCTTCGGAGCTGAGATTTTCGGATTTGGGGCTTAGGCGCCTAGTCTCTGTTGGGATTTGCTAAGCGCTGCTAGTACAGGCGTCAAGACAGGGCGATTCTGCAAAGCTTCTGTGGGTGATGTTGGGTCTTGGTTCTGAGTATTCCATCAAACCAGCCCAACAGCCCAACATCTCCTAAAAACGATCGGAGGCCCCAACTCTGAACCCTGCGGCCTACGTGCAGACATCCCTCTGATAAAGAAACGCCTTTGTTCGGCGTACCGTACCTACGGGGAGACCCTGTTCTTGGAAATACCCGCATGCTAAACCTGACACCCTGCAATTCCTTTTCAAACTGATCTCCTGCACGGCGATGATGTCGGGTGCACGGAAGCGCTCCCCCTGGCAGGGCAAGGATACAAGCCTTAGGCTTACCGATGCCTAATGGAAAATGAGGGCGGGCAGCGGATCCCTGTGTCAGTAAGTATCCCATAGCCACCCTATGTGTAAATGCTTATTCATTTACAGATGTGCCTTTTCATGTTGATGTGTCTCAATTTCAGAACAGCTATGTACCCTCCTCCACACCCGCTCAAGCAACAGTAGCGAAAAAGCTTGTCATAAGGCCACCAACGTGGAAATAATCCGACACCTGAGGACACCATTCACCTCTGCCACACCCATCAAACCTGTATGAGTATGGTGGGTTCTCAAAATTAGGCGTACGTTTTTTGGTGTCCCTTTGATAGGGATTATCGTATTTCGGGGTCCGGATTGGGGTCCTCCCATTTGTGGTTGCCACCGAAACCCTATCAACCCGTACGTAACCCAGTTTCCGCTTCATTTTCTATTTAAATTTTCTTTTCCATGTGATTCTCCACTATTGGAGTCCCCCTATTTATGGAAACTACCAATATCTGGTAGATTCCCTTTCAAAAGAGAAATCACCAGTTGTCCTAAAGGTGCCACCGAGAAAATGGTTCGCACGTACAGCGACTCAGCGAAGACTGTGATAAGAGCTCACGTTCATGTCGTTGTGTCTCTCGGAGCGTGAGTACAACGCCTGATCTTCAAATCCCAAATCAAACTCGGACTTTCTTGTTAGTGCTTGAACTGCCTGGAGCTTAGTCCTCCACCTTGAAATCCATCAGAATGGAGCCAGAACTGCCAAATGAGGAAGTCAGGCCTTTAAACGGCTAACACTAAGACTCATGATGAACATCAGTGGCTCTTGATCGGGACCATACACAAACTGATAGAATACAAACTCAACCGTGCATGACCATTAGAAACCCGAAGTTGCCATGAAGCGTAGTCTGCATGATCATGCAGAACAGCAAAGGTTTAAAACCCACCCTGAACACCAGACCCCAAACCCACTAAACCCTGATACTAAACCGGAAACTAAAATGCTATAGTCAACTTTGACTCAGCCATGTTCCAACAAGCATCCACAACATGTTCATGAATGCATAGGCTGGATGTTTGAGGTTCTTATGAGTTACTAGCATAAGCTGTTGGCACGAAACCCTGAGGGCAAAATTTCGCCAGACACGGAGGGCTGTGTCAAATCCTACAGAAACTTATGCTGCAGTGCTTCAGGTACTAGTAAGAGTAACAATTAACAGGGCAATTCCCAAAATTAGGGTCCCATTTTGGTATCCCTAAATATTAGGTGCCGTAATATAATCCATAACCAAGAGGGGCCCATAACTTTGAGAACAACCCAACAGCAATAGCAACAGCAAGAATACTGCGACTGGCATCAAGAACTGTAGAGTCTTGGCCCCCTCCTTTGGCTCACTTCGCCGGACGATCTTACAAAAGCGCCTTACCAATCTCTGTAGAACCCTATCAAGCAACAAGAAATCACGCAAAACACTCTAAAGCCCTAACAAATGACCCTACAATCCAGCAATCCCACATGCAGCCCCTGAAACCTTAACCTCTACAGGCCCACCTTACCCTCAGCATCCCGTCTGCTGGCCCCAGCGGCCTCAGCCTCCACATGTGGGGCTGTAGGCATCTACAATAAGAGAACATAGGGGTATCAGTTGGGGTTATGTAGGGATGATGAAAAAGAAAATGGAAACTACCATTTAGCTTTTAGGGTTAGTAGGGAATAAGGGAATAAAGTATATAGGGATGCCCAAAATGAGGGGTCCCTTTTCTGGAGGTGAGGGTTGGCTGTCAATTCTAGTCAGGCAGCGGGCTGGCTCTTAGAATCATGATCTTTAATGCTTTGTGATGTGTGTGGTTGCAGGGACTCACCATTCTCCGTGGAGATGTCGTGGAGAGGCATTTGAATGCACGTTCACTCCGACGTCCGGGCCGAAGACTAGGGATTCAAAACCCTCCTCTTCTTTGGAAGCCAGGAGATCTCTTGGGGTCCTAAAGCAAAACCCAAATTGGGGGTGAGGGACTGCCTCTTACAGATTCGTTAGTCGCTGAACCCTGCTTCATCAAGCTTCTGCGGGCCCTTCTACAGTAGGAGGGCCTAAGATGAAGGGCTAGATTACATTCCATTGCACAGGCCTTCTGCTGGCGAGACGCACTTGCAGTTGTACTAAAATGTACCACTATACTGTAATATACTATGATATACTGTAATGTATGATAATGTACTATAATCCATTGTAATATACGATAATGTGTTCTACGATAATACGCTATGCGGTGGCCGACCTCGCCTCTAGGTCGTCCTTGACCTTCGCGAGAAAAAGCTGAAGCCGGCCGCTGCTGTGGAGGCTTTCATGGCCTTGCGGGGATTCAGCCAGCTTATGTAGGGATTATAGGGATTATAGGGATTGTATAGGGGCATTATAGGGATAATGGAAAAGAAAATGGAAACCACTATATAGTTTATTGGGGTATGGACTCAACAGCTTAAGGTCTCATTTGTGGGTTTGGCCTTTCAGCTTTGAGAACTGTGACTGTGAGAGCGCACAGAAGGGGATTTAAGTGTTGGTAGGGAACACAGATGTAGGGGATTCTCGGGATTATGCAGGGAGCATGTTGAGCATGGGGCTTGGGGGTACGAGACTCAGGGGGCATCAGAAAAATGCATTGCTGACTGAAAAGCATGTGCAAAAATTGAATAGCCCAGTAATACTCCTTACTACAGTCGATACGGACTCCAAACCCTACAGTCCAAGCTTCACGTCAAAGCTGCCAGTATCAATTTGTTTGCTGTAATACTTCAAGCCAATTGCTCGGGCTTTTGTAAGGTTCAGGTAAACTCTTCAGCTTTGCGCAAAAAAAGCAAAAAGATGCCTGACCGTTCACTTAGAAAGCCACGAGCCTGAACGGCGCAGGACACTTGGGGCTCAAAAGGCCTGACCTGGAATCCTGATAAGTCACAAAAGGCAGGAGGGATGCAAGAGCCCTAGTTAAGAGGTTGCTTTAGGGTTTTAGGGCGTCAGGGTTTGAAGGTCTTAGGCTTTTTGGGATAGTTTTGAACGCAGGCATGCGCCCGGCCTCGAAGAGAAGCCACACCGAAAGGCAGAATGTTGAGGTTGTAGGAAAGGATGTGAAGGCCGTCAAAGCCTGACAGTGGCTAATCCAGCAAACTCAGGGGGACTTAGTAAGACCCTATGGGCCACATAATAACCCCAGGTCTCACTGTTATTAACCCGCTTACTGCGTCCCCATGGCCTTCCAAGTACGAAGAGTTGAGGAATGAAGCTGTTGGTTTCCAGTGACTTGCGGCGGCACCGCACCCCTTTCTTGCTGGCTGCACACCCTAGACTAAATTGGAAAGAAAAGGCAGCCCACTATGAGACTGCTAGTCGTACAGTAAGCTGCCTCTCTTTCAAAAGAAACCCCTAAAAACATAACCCTGCTCGCGGTTCGGGGTAGGGGTCTAAGAATTCGGTTGTAGCTCTTGCGGCCGATGCCATCAGGGAGGAGCTGATGGCCTGCTGTTGCCACTGTGACACCTGTTTTCAGAAATAGCCCGATAAGATGGGTAAGACTCAAGGTTGGCACGATCCATTTGTGTTTGAAGGCCTCCCTAGGTTTTGGAGGAGCATATCCCCAGCCAGTTCTACGAATGAACAAAGCAGAGTTGTCCTCTTGACTAGCAGTCAAACCCTTTCTGAGCATCCAGGCTACTACCTGGACCTCCCAACACATCCCAAAAAAAAATCGCAGCAGAAGAAAATGCCGCAAAAGAAAAGATTGTCAAGTGCTGTGATGAAATTGGATTTCTGAGTCTAGGTGTGTCACGACCTTGGGATCCCAGTTCCTCGGACATGTACTTACACACCGTGCACAAGGGGCCCAGAACCAAAAAAACCTGCAGGTATGCTGTAACGTTGGATTGTTGGCCGCACGGGATCTGTATTTGCCCTCTGTACAATCCATGCGTACATCGAGGTTTACATTCATGGTCCCGGGGAAGGACACTTCCTTTATACATACCCCGGGTTTCCGAAGCAACCTTTTGCACTCGCCAAAGCCACAAAATCTTCCCGTCTAATCCTTGGACTTCAGATCCTAAACCCTAAACTGACAGGGATCTGCTGACGGCGCCTTGGATGCAGGGCTCCAGCTCCCCACATTCGAGCTCGCTCCACCTACAATTACATCACCAAGGTTTGGCTGAGCTTTGAGTTTCCAGGCTCGTCCAGGAGCGCAGAAGGTTTCGCCAAGTCTTGCGATATCTGATTCGAGAATATTATCGATCTGCGGCACGGCAGCTGCCATAATTCCTGCATTGCATGTGACCGGCTGCACTCAAGACCTGCTTGCTAACGTACTGACTTACTCGCCAGCTTGCCTGACTGCTTGCATGCTTGCTACCTATTGCAACCCACCAGTGACCACCTCACACTTCCTACCCGCTATGGCGATGGCTCCTGCTTACTCCTGCTGCTACTGCTACCAACAGCACCAGCTCCAGCACAAGCACCACCACTGCAGGCTGCTCTTACTATGAGCTTACCAGGTACACCATTTTCAAACGCGGCCTCTTCTTGGGCACGCAGAGGAGGGCCTGCTCCCTCCTCAGCCATGCGTTAGCGGTTCTCACGCTGGAGTGGAGGGATGAATCACGAGAAACATACCCATTTGCGTCACCTGCTGCCGCTGCCCCTGACGACTGGATGCTAGTCTCCAGGTTTAAGATTCATCGAAACAGGGCCCTGCATCCACATACGGGGAATCACACCTCCAAGTGGAGAAACAGTTGAGGTGCTTCTATCAAGTACGAGGACGTAGCATTGTTCGGCTTCGGTTTGAGTTTTTGCAACCACGAGGTCGGCATGGTGACTATGATTGAGCCTTAGGCTTGGAAAGCTCCTGACGGCCCATCCTGATCTCCAAATCCCAAATTTACCTTAGCCCTCAGAAGGAGTACTCTAGGGATCGCAAGGGCATAAGGGGATTGCATGGGGGGAGTATGGGGGTCTTTGTTCGGGGATTATTCGACCCACTTACCCTAACCCTTGGGAACCGAAACCTGAGGTTCCATGTTACTTAAGGCAGGGGCTGCACTTCAACTGAGCATGCGGCAGGATGCACTGCTGGAACACCTGAGGGACAGGTAGGAGACTTCTTGACACTGGGCCTAAGCCTCACCCCGGACACTGATATAGATCAAACCTGCCACCTCCCGATATACCCCCCAAGACCTCTGAATCCAAGGATAGGCCTTTCGTTTGGGCAACTGTGTTACTGTGTTCATTGTTGCTACTTAGTTGGTCTGTCAAAACTGTTAGCATGGCGATCTTCCTCGCAGGACATGACATATTCCACATGCCCAGCGAGGTCAGGCAAAGCAGTCGCTTGTCCATAATGTTGATAACACCCAACAAATCCCTAGTACCAAGTATGTGTCCTTTTGGGGCCGGGGGCCGTTTACTCTTAGGCGGAAGGAAGATACCGCCGATATTGCTACAGCAGAAGTCCAACACAATCAGCTTAAACGAGTAGCAAGCGGCGCACAGCTTCCGTATGTTGCAAGCCCTACACCCCCAAGTTTAAAGCCCTCTAGGGTTTTAGGTTTAGGGTTTAGGGGCTATGTTGAGGGGTGCTCTTCAGTAATTTCCGTGGGCAGGGTGACAGGGAGATCGTCGCATAGGTCTTCATGAACTATGATCCTTACTCTGAGTACTCCCCAAACTGAGGGGCCCCTAATTTTTGGAAACCCTCCTACACCCTCAGAAAACCTGATATGCTGACATTAAAGGGTGCTTGGAGTGCTAATTTCCCTGAATAGGGGAAGCCAAACATGGACCCAAAAATACCCTAGTCACTAGTCCTGGTTATGGAGACCCCAAAAAGGTACCCCTTATTTTAGGAAACCCTAAGCCCTATTTATCCACCTAATTTTAGGAACCCCCCGAGTAACTCTTTCAGCAAAGGGCCAGGCCTGTTCGGCCGTGAACTTTTGCAGCCGCCGCAGCATGTCCAGATGGGCATTCCTGAGCTCTGGGGTTTAGGGTTTAGGGTTTAGGGGTTTAGGGGTTTAGGGTTTAGGGTTTAGGCTCGCCAAACCCCAAAGCACGAAACCCAGAATCGTAAAAAAGTAATATTGCGGTTGTATTGGGATAATGGAAAATAGAATGGAAACTACTTTTCAGAGTTTAGGGATTTAGGGTTTAGGGTTATACGTTAGGTGGACCCCCAACGCGCCACAGAAAAAACAAGATCACTAAGCAGCCCAAATTCCCAGAGGCACGAGCACGGGCAGAGCGTCCATGCGCTTGGAGCCCCGCCCGCTGATAATCCTGGGGCTCTCACTATGGACCAGTGCAGGGTTGAGGGCTTAGGCTCTAGGGTGACCATGTGGCCATTACAAAGGCTAGCTGTTGCTACTAACAGAAAGAACTCATGGCCATTTGGTTTGTCAAAAGTGTGGATCATTTTTCAGCATTTGGGCTTGCAGGGTCAGAATTGAGAGCTTATCTGGGTTGCTGTTAAGGAACTTAAATTAAGTTACCATAATGGGTATATATTGTAAATAAGAGGGTTTCCCCAATATAGTAACTTAATTTAAGGTCCTTAACAGCAACCCAGTTATTTTCACGCTCCATTGGTCAGGGGGGACGGCATCATTTCGTAGAGCCCTCCTGGTTCCTGCCTTGCACTGCGGAGCTATAGTTATAAGACAATAAGAGTATTATTGCCTCAGGACCCCATCTTGAGGGTCACTGAACCCACCGCAGGCTGATGAGAGTTTGGGGCTCAAAGTCCAAGATGAAGGCCAACAGGGGCCAGATACTAGAACTGCAGAAGTTGAACTCAGGGTCCGAATACAAGTGCTTCGCACGCGCGCTATATATCAAGGCCTTTGAGCCACAGAAGATATTGCCCGCGTGGCCTGTCCAAAAATCTGGATCCACATTCCTCTTGAGGGTTGGATGCGCTCTCATGAGGCTTTTGACGTGGCCTAACACAGGAAGCTAAAATGAGGATCCTGAGCTTAACTTTAGACAACCCATGCTGGCATCTACTCAGGCCCCATGAAGCCACAACATATCCCGCGTAAACTCGCAAGCCTTGTAAAGTCCTGGAAAGCCCTGCAAAACCCTCAGGGGAAGGTCTGTCTTTCTCAGAGGCACATTTACAAAGTCAAGCTCGGATTGCTTCAGCAGCTCATCGATCCGCCACCATGACACTCCTTGGTTACTGTAGGGTTGCGGGGTCTCAAGGATTGGAATGTTAAAGCTGTCTGGCGGGACGCCATATACTACAATTGCAAAAGAATAATTACCCCAGAACACCAAAGACAAATCTTACTGACCATTGTGCTGTCCACGCACCAGCATCAGGAGCATCAGGACATCCGGACCCAAAGCGCTTGCATGGTCAGCACCAGCTGGGATTAGCTTGCGCAGCTGCTGGCAGGCACTAACCCGAAAAGGACCCGTGACTTCAAGCAACCCCTAACAATCCTGAACCTTCAAACCTAAACCCCTCAAAACCAAAACGTGCTGCAGAATCCCAGGCTCTATGGAACATGGGGCACAGCTGTGCCCTAAGGGCTTCAGGAATCTCGAAGAGCTTGTCGCCTCACAAAGCTACGAGCAAATCGATGCGTCTAATCCTAAACCCCTCAATAGTAGTTTCCATTCCATTTTCCATTATCCCAATATGACCCCAATATTACTCTAGAATTACCCCAATGGGAATCCCTAAGCCTAGTAGACTTTGGGCTCGAGGGTTTATGGTTGGGGTTCTGGGGGGGGACTACGAGCGACTCAAGGTTTTCAGTGCGGAGCCTGGGAAATTTTTTGGCGAAAGTCCCAAACAGCCTAGACTCACGGTGTAAGGGTTCAGGGCTTTGGGGTGCGTGGTGGGATTCTCAAGGCTTTGTGTGTGCAGACTTCAAGCCTTGTTAATTCAAAATAGTTTGGCATTGGCTTTCAAAAGCTACCCTCTAAGTTGCCCAAGGAATTGCGGTCCAGGAAGCATTTTGTGAAAGCTGTTCCAGAGGCCTAACTTTTTTGGAATAATCTTACTGGCGCTTAGAGAGGAATGAGGAAATACAATCCTTATATGACCCTTATACAATGTATTCCCTCCTTCCCTACTAACCACCAGTAATTAATTTCCTAGTTACCAGTTACAAGCAAATCTGTGGCATTCAAAGAGCTCGAGGCAAACTTTGTCAGTAGCCAGCCCCAAGCAACGAACTGAGTTCAGTGCGGCTCTGGTGTAACGTAGAAATCTTAGACCCCTTCCCTAATACCTTCCACTTACTGGTCCTTAGCAGGGAATAAGGGAGTCTAATCCCTATAGAATTCCTATATAACATATTCCCTCAATTAGGGGTAAAGGGGGTCCGTTGAACAAGCACAGGAACTCGGCTCAAAGTGTTGAATAGACTAAATAAACTCCTAGCATCCCCCTAAATGACCCCTATAATACTCCCCATATAATCCCCGATATAACCCTCTGTAAGGAGCGTAGACTATAGATCATGTTGCCATGAAAACACGTGTAGAGGTCCTGCAGCCTTTGGGGCACCGTCGGGGACACTGGTACAGAGGTTTGTCAAAATGGTGATACTTTGGGCCCTGCGGATATCACGAGTGAAATCTGAGCGGAATCCCTACGCATCTTTCGCCATAATTTTCCTCAAGCATTAAACCCTTAACTCAAAAGCATCTTAAACCCGAAAGCCTCCATTCATATTCCCAACATCCCTCTTGAGGCCTTTGGCATCGCAGCATTCCTGCTGAGCTTCCAGAAACTGGTTCAGCAGATTCACGAGCCGTTCAGACCTGGAGATACTCCAAACTTGTGCTGTGCAAGTCCAATGAAACTGAAAATGGAGGATTGGCGGGGCAGTGAGCCAATGACGAGAACAGGCAGCGCTTTTGATACTTGACAGGGGCGTGTACAACGTTAAGTAGCTCAAGTAGTCATGCCGGCTTGAACGTTCATGCCTGATCCCACACCCCGAGTCCTAAACCGTAAATCCCAGGCTTGATCTTGAATTCTGATGCTGCAGACCCTACCGGAAACCAGATCTCTGACACATAGCTATCTCTAATCTCAAGTTTACCTGACTTGCATGCCAGAACCAGGCACGCGGTGCGGCTCATCGAGCAAACGAAATGGAACGTCTTGTGCGCTCCGCCAGCCTGCAGAAAGCCACGACGGGCTGTGGATATTGCCCTCACCGTGACATGTATAACATTCATTAGATGTAGAAGTTACAGTAAATGTTACTCCAGGGTTGTTGTAGGGCCGGGAGCAATGTCTTGGATGGGATAGACTTGCAAGCCATGAGACATGTCAAACGCCTTAGAATTGCCTTGCTGGGCACCTAGGGACGGTATTTCTCCTTGATCACACTACAGAATCGCCTACAAAGTTAGAATACTGGATCCTCATCAGTACAAGGGGCCTTCAATTGTTGGATCTTTGGGTCTAGTTAGAACCAAACCAGTACCGCTCAGTCATGGGGACTGGGTAAGTAGGTCATTACTGGGGATAACTGGGGTTACCGTATGGGTAATTCCCAAAATTGGGGTCCCGTTTTGGTGGCCCACAATTTTGGGAACTACCCATATGGCTTGTAAGGGTTGTGAGTATACTTACTAAGGAGGCTCATGCTGCCAGGCAACCTCTACACCCTAAAGCCTAAACCCAACTTGAGCCGCGGAGGTCTTGTAAAGGTTTGGCTCAAGGCTCTTTTTTCAAGGTTTGGCTCACGCGTTTTGGGTTAGGGGGCCTCCAGGGTTTAGGTTTTGGACTTGCGGGTTTAAGGTTAAGGGTTTAGGGGTTTAGGGATTGAGTTGCCCTTTAGTATGAAACTAAGCCAAACCACAACCAAGACAAACCTTTTAAAAATGGCCCCTCGGGCGCTACAGGCCACAAACGAAGTCGCAACCAACCAAGGCCCAACCTGTACCCGAAAGTAAAATATAGTCCCCCTTAAGTAGATAGAATGTGGCTTTGGGTATTTCATAATAAGATCCCCCGTACAACCACATTCTACCGACCTAAGGGGGACTATAGTCGTTTGGGTTCTTTTCTTAGAATTGGGTGTCCACGCCCAGGGCAATTGCTGGACTGTGGTCTGATGCCGGCAGCTCTGGAAGACGTTACCACTCATTTATATGTTGGCGACGCTTTTTAGGCTGGTGGGTGCCGCTTAGCCTGGAGAGGCGTGTAGAGCTCTGAGAGTCTCGGCTATTTGCATGTGCCATCTGGAATGGTCCAAGAAATCTTTGCACAGGTGTTTCGATACTCTCATTTTAGCAACTTCAAGCTCCGGAACTGTGAGTCGCAAAGCAAATGCCCCAACCCTGAACCCTCCCCACGCCACATCATCCCTCTGAGGTCCACAGGGAAGGCCCTTCAACAGCCAAAATGCGGCAGCAGCCCTCTCAAGCACAAGGCACTCACGTACTAACAGCTTACGCTATCCCGGAAGTCGCCTATGCCCCCACATAAAGAATAAATGAAAGCTGACCACAGCCTGAGCTAGATGCAACCTTATGGACGTTGCCAGACTGAAAGCAAGAGCCTGCACCGTGACATCGAAAAGCATGGCACGCATCGCGGCAAAACCCAACTCCTCTCTTTCTGCCACGTAAGAGCCTGTCCAGAGTCAAAGGTATCTAGTTGTGGCTTTGGGGCGGGATGGCAATAATAATGATAATAACAGAAATAATAATAACAAAAATAAGAACAATAATAGTAATGACTACTAATGGGAATATTTGTAATAATAGTCGTAATATTGTATTGTGGTCGGGCTGGGAGTCTCCAGGTTCTGGAATAGGTAGGAATACTTTCATTTCCCAATCCGTAAACACCAAGCCCGAGACCCTGCGACCATTGTTGGGATAAACTTCCCCTTTAGCAGACATTACTATTACATTATCACTATGGTTCTTACTAGACCATTACCTGGCACTGCAGACATTACTAGTACATTATCACTATGATTCTTACTAGATCATTACTTTGTTGCTACTACCCTAATACTATAGTATCATTTTTTGTTGGCATATTGGTGCTATGTGGCTGCTGCATTGTTATCTGTGACTACCTTATCACCATATTATTACTACAACATATTATTGCCATCTTGCTACTGCATTTTTTACTGCATTTTTGCTTTCAGCCAAGAAAAAGCTGACAAGGTGCGGATGTAGCGCTGCGCATTGCGCAGGCCCGCGCTGGTCAGACCTGTGAGATAGATTTTTAAGGGAGGTAAGGATTGTAGGGATTCAGGGCTTAGGATTCAGGATTCATCCTACATTGTACTCTAAGTTCTTTTCGTCAACCGACTCCATTGTTGTACGATAATTAGTATGGTTACTCTATGCAGAACATTGATTGACATTCTTTGAACGGCTCTACAAACCCCTATACTGCGTAGAGATCTCACTACAGGTCGCTTTGCGCAGCCTTTACATGACAGCTTGCTTCAAATTCATGTCTCCAACATAAAAGGGAGGAAGGGATATAGTGAGAATAAGAGGCTATGACTAATTACCCCAAATGTCATGAGCTCCCAGGAGCTGAACCTTTAAGCCTGAAACTTGCAATGGTCCAGTTCATAGGTTCCCTCTACACCCTTCCCTTCTAATTATTTTATTATTTGCTGGGGGGGCGGCACCTGCGCTAAGGGGTTTAGGTTTTAGGGTCAACCATGCATAATACGACGATGTTGGTATCGTAACCAGAATCCCTTGCTTCCCGTAAATTCGCCCTAAAATTTTAGCCCCGTAGCTACATATATCAAAACCGCTGATACCCGCCGATAATTATTTTAACGGGCCTGCCTAGATCAATTCCCGGTATCAATGATACAAACCCTTATATAACTACAGTTTCCATTTCAGGTTCCATGTTCTTCCATTTGTTCTCCAATCCTTGGGGTAGTTTCAGAAATACTCCTATGCAATCCCGACCTATCCCTACGCCTACTCATGTTAAGCTACAGTCAATTTTCGGGAGTTATTGGGAACTATACGAAACTACACAAGGCCTATGTGCACCCTCAACGGTCCCTTGGCAACCCTAACATTGACAGGAATCTCTACAAGTGGAAATGCCCCTACATCCCAAAAGAAGTTTCCATTTCCTTTTCCAGTGCCCCGCTTGGAGCCCCCCCCATGCCCCAAACCCCTAAACCCGTAAACCTCGGACCACCCCAAACCCGAACCCCACCCCCCCAAGCTTTTAGTAGTTTCCATGCTCAGAGGTCATGGCACACGCGGGGGGAGGCTGAGCCCGAGGCCACGGATTGCTGTGTCCAGAGGAGTCCTAGGAGGGCTGGGTCGTTTTTTAGCCCCCACGCCCTAGGGCTTAGGCTCCAGGAGTTTAGGCTTCAGGGTCTGGGGTTTAAAGTTCTGGGTTCAGGGCCCAGGCCCCGGCCGAAGGGCACGTCTTCAGGTTTTCACCCCAGAAGAGGCAATGCGCGGACCTAAGTTTAGGATTAGGGGCTTAGAGAGCCTAGAGTTAACGAGCTTTCCTCCCCCCGAAAGGGAAATGCTAAGAGGCTATATGGGAAAAGTACTGGCGACATCGGTACTTCAACCACAGCTGCAATCTACGTGAGCGCAGCTTCTGAAGCAACACGTGTACCCAGCATCTTTGGAGGTCCCATTCTACGCGACGACGAGCGCTGCGAAGAAAAAGCTTCCACAGTCACGCTACCGTCCACCCGATCCCCGGTCTCTGCCCAAAAGCTGGCGAAGTGTCCCGGGTGACCAGAATGCTTTGCTACCAGCTGCCCTGCTTCCTCTACCGTGGCCGTTGGAGGTATGGCGAAGCTACCGCTCAGCAGCCTCACACTCACGATCAAATTGTACTTGCGCAGCTTCCACATGGGCCTCAGACACACGCCCCTCTGGACGCTGGGTTGTAAAAGTTTGTCTGGGTCCATAGTACATGGTGGCGAGGCCTTTCTGGCGCGAACGTCTGGCCCCTAGCCATGCACGCACAAGCGTACGCGCTCAATATCCAGCGTGGACTGAGAGCAGGACATTGGAGACGGATCCTCAGGGCAGGGCTGCAAAGATATCACAGTCATCTCGACTCTGCAACCCACTCGCGTCATGATAGCGGCTGCTAGCAGTTGCTGCTGGGCTTCCGACCTGGTTGCTGCCACAGCAGAAGACGTGCGAAGGCGCCCCCGCAGAGGCTTGATCAGTCAGGCTATCATCTACAACAAAGCGATCTTAACACGTTGCAGCTCTGCTTCGCCTACTGCTATTGGCATCTTATTAGCAGGCGCTCGAGTGTAGCTGCACGCAATTCTCATTTTCCCGTTCTTATGACGCCAGCTGAGCCAGCGGCAGTTGCTATGACGCCTTGGTCGTGCTGATCTGCCAAGTGCTTGCTCGAAAGAGCTGTTCCGGCAAGGCCATCTTCGAGCCGAGCCACATAGCCGGAAGATTGCAGCCAACGAGGCCCGGTCCTGTCAGCAGCAAGTGACTAGGTCAAGAGGCAGCGGACAAAGGCTAAACTTGAAGCAGCAACACCCACCGTCTTCTTGCTAGTTCCCTGCGGCCTGCGAAGAGCTCCTCCTCGTTCAGAACCGTTTTGTCAAGAAGGAGGACGATGTGGCAATCCTTCCGAACCTGACATCAATTAACGACACTAGAAGCCAACCACGGGTTTGTCTGCGCATCCGACTTTGCGTGCACGATGCGGAAAACTATATCGCCCACATACACGCCTTGCATGACCTGAGAAGATACACATGGTTGGAAACGACTAAGCAAAGAAACGGCGCACGACCAAGAGCCCTATTGTTGCCGAGGCAGGGCCGACCAGCGGTGCTGAGAGAAGACATCTCCGGCCATGCTGCGCGTTTCCACGCACGGCCCTCCTGACACAGGCACCCAAACCAGAAACGCCTTGACGCCTTCCGCCAAGCTTCGGGGACACGCGTCGAATCCCGCCTTGCCAAAAACAGCGAACCTGGGAAACCAACGTCCGGAAATCCTTCACGACCTTTCGCGTCTTCTGAAGCTACGCGGAAGTTGCAATTGACTGCTCACAGGGAGCTTCACGGCTTCGATGCAAGCCATGACACGATGCCTGAGAGCGCAGAGACATGTTTGTTCAACGAAGGGGA